TTTTGTGGCGCGGGTTCGATTCCCGCACCAGGCAGAAAGAAATGGGCAAAGTTAATTTCACCCCTGAATGCCCCTGTTACCTAGCAGTAAATAGGTACATGGGAGTTAGTCAGCTGTCACGAGCTGCTTTCTGGGGTGTGTGTGTGTGGTGTGGAGAAAAAAAAATAGGTGAGTACACACACACACACTCACACACACACACACACACACACACACACACACACACACACACACACACACACACACACACACACACACACACACACACACACACACACACACACACACAATAATCTGGGATGGTAACAATTAAAACACTAACAAGAGTTTCTTCGACTATTCCTTAACATACATGACGTATCAAGTTAACTTATCTGAACACACCTAAAATATTGAAACGACTCAAACTTTCTAAATGCGATGTTAAATAGTGCAGAGAAATGGCTTCCTTAAACCCAAGGTTCCTCCCAAAAAATATATATATATTATATCTATGTTATATCTATCTTTGGTTAGATCTAAAGGTGTGATACTACATTATAATTAGTCTATGTTTTTCGCCACGGGTGGAACACATCGCCGAGGACATCGATCTTCTCCTTCAGATCGTAGAGCAGTACACGCAGGTCCTTTCTCGGGTACTGGTCGAGCGGGTAGCGGGTAGTACAGTTGTTGACGGCGGTCCACCAGTTGGCGGGGTGGGGGACGAGGCTGGAGGTGGTCGGGTCGTTATGGAGTTTGTGGCAGAGTTCGCAGAGCGGAGGGTAGTAGGTGACCCTCCAGTACCGCCTCCACAGGTGGTATCGTGCATACAGCTGCTCAGAGGCCGCCACGCTGGAGGGGGCGCCACAGGGGGAGATATTAGGGTTAGTTTGTTTATTATATAAGAACAAAGGTAACTGCAGAAGGCCTATTGGCCCATACGAGGCAGCTCCTATCTATAACCACCCAATCCCACTCATATACTTGTCCAACCCGCGCTTGAAACAATCCAGGGACCCCACCTCCACCACGTTACGCGGTAATTGGTTCCACAAATCAACAACCCTGTTACCGAACCAGTATTTACCCAAGTCTTTCCTAAATCTAAACTTATCCAATTTATACCCATTGTTTCGTGTTCTGTCTTGTGTTGATACTTTTAATACCCTATTAATATCTTTATATATAGATATATAAATATCTATATATTTAATTTTGTCCCGAAGGTGATAAAGATGAGTAAGGAAAACAGAGATTGGATGGGTAACTGTACTAACCTGGAGAGGAGTGAGGCCAGTTGGCGGGGGGCGAGGTTGGTGGCGTCGATGTAGGAGCCAGGAGGCAGGAACTGGTGGTACTGGGCGCCCCCGTACACTACGGGTACCAGCCCGTGGTGCAGTGGGTACCACACCTGTTGTACCGTTGCCAGGACCACGGGGAGTACCGTAGCAGGCGCCAGGATGAGAGGGGGAGGAGGATGAGAGATGGATAGAATGGCAGGAGCATTTTTGGTGCGTGATATTGATTCTCTTCTCTTCTTCCCCAGTACACGTATATGTGTGTGTGTATTTATACACACACACACACACACACACACACACACACACACACACACACACACACACACACACACACACACACACACACACACACACACACACACACACACATGCGAGGTTGGCTAACATCAGAACAGCGTTCAGGAACCTGTGTAAGGAATCATTCAGAATCTTGTACACCACATATGTAAGACCAATCCTGGAGTATGCGGCCCCAGCATGGAGCCCGTACCTTGTCAAGCACAAGACGAAGCTGGAAAAAGTCCAAAGGTATGCCACTAGATTAGTCCCAGAACTAAGTGGCATGAGTTACGAGGAAAGGCTGCGGGAAATGCACCTTACGACACTGGAAGACAGAAGAGTAAGGGGAGACATGATCACAACCTACAAAATCCTCAGAGGAATCGACCGGGTAAACAAGGATGAACTATTCAACACTGGTGGGACGCGAACAAGGGGACACAGGAAAAAATTGAGTACCCACATGAGCCACAGAGACGTTAGAAGGAACTTTTTCAGTGTCAGAGTAGTTAACGGATGGAATGCATTAGGCAGTGATGTGGTGGAAGCTGACTCCATACACAGTTTTAAATATAGATATGATAGAGCCCAGTAGGCTCAGGAATCTGTACACCAGTTGATTGACAGTTGAGAGGCGGGACCAAAGAGCCAAAGCTCAACCCCCGCAAGCACAAATAGGTGAGTACAAATAGGTGAGTACACACACACACACTGGAAATAGGTGGAGCGAGCAAGAGGTACAATCTGAGAGGTGAAATCCTTAAGAAAATCAAGGAGAAAGATCTGGGGGTTGATATTACTCCGGTCCTGTCCTCTGAAGCCCACATTAAACATATATCATAAGCAACATATGCCAGGTTGGCTAACATAAGAAGTGCCTTTACAAACTTGTGTAAGAAATCATTCAGAACCTTGTATACCAACATATGTCAGACCTAGAGTATGCAGCACCAGCCTGGAGTCCGTGCCTAATTATACACAAGACAAACAGAAGATTCAGACTAACTTCAATTATTTAAACTAACTATAAGGTTCTCTATAATAAAATCGAAGAGCAGCCAGAATAGTCCTTATAAATATTGATAATTTTAATAACTCAACCAGGACATGGAATGTAAGTGACCAGGGTTCGGTCCCTCCTGGACCGAACCCTCTGGACCGAACCCTCTGTACCAAGGGTCCAGAGGGACCGAAACGTCGTCACTCATATATAGTCTGGGTTACTTGTTTCAACCATCACGGGAGACATCTCCCGTCACGCAGGGTGCAGTCGCACCTCCACAGATCTCCACAGATGGCTCAAAAGGGCCACCACTTACGGGCTATTCATGCCCGTGCCACCTTTTGGGTGGCTTAAATCTTCATCATCATTCCTCATCACCTCACCATTTGGTCCGGGAGACATCTCCCGTCACGCTGGGTGCAGTCGCACCTCCACAGATCTCCAGTATCAGCTCTTGATACTGGTAATGGCTTAAAAGGGCCACCACTTACGGGCTATTCATGTCCGTGCCACCTTTTGACTGGCTTAATCTTCATCAATCAATCAATCAATTTCAACCCTGTTATTGTAACTTATTCTCTACGCTGGTGATTGTAGCGCAAAAACACACATTAGGAAAAGTAGGTTAGCGTCTCACCTTCTCTGTGATGTAGTCGACGCACAAGTTGTTCTCAAAGGAGAGGTAGAACTTGTAGTTGGGTCTGAGGACGTGCTCGTAGCAGTGTGTGTCAAGGTGAGACTTGCCACACGCCAGGGGCCCGCACGCGCCGTAGACATCCACCTGCAGGTACTGCTGCAGCTCCTTCACATACAGCTCCCTGCCTGGGAGTGTGGGCAGGAAGGATAGGTATTGCTACAATAGGTCAGTACAAGAGCTCCCTGCCTGGGAGTGTGGACAGGAAGGATAGGTATTGTTACAATAGGTCAGTACTGGAGCTCCCTGCCTGGCAGTGTGGATAGGAAGGATAGGTATTGCTACAATAGGTCAGTACTGGAGCTCCCTGCCTGGCAGTGTGGATAGGAAGGATAGGTATTGCTACAATAGGTCAGTACTGGAGCTCCCTGCCTGGTAGTGTGGGCAGGGAGGATAGGTATTGCTACAATAGGTCAGTACAAGAGCTTCCTGCCTGCCAGTGTGGGCAGGAAAGATAGGTTTTGCTACAATAGGTCAGTACTAAAAATGGCATCTTGAATGATGCATGGGAAGGGAAGGGAACTATCAGGGGGGAAAGCACCAAGCCATTACGACTATATAACACTTGGAAGGGATCAGGATAAGGATTTGAGATGGAACGGAGGGAAGGAATAGTGCCCCAACCACTTGGACGGTCGGGGATTGAACGCCAACCTGCATGACGCGAAACCGTCGCTCTACCGTCTACCCCAAAACCATACATGCTATAGCCTGTGACCCTATGTTATGTTGCCAGCATGCTGGGCGTCATGATGGGGTCCCTCGATTGTTTCAAGCGCGGGTTGGACATGTATATGAGTGGGATTGGGTGGTTATAGATAGGAGCTGCCTCGTATGGGCCAGTAGGCCTTCTGCAGTTACATTTGTTCTTATGTTCTTACTTATGTTGGGGCAACTTACCAGACAGGGTATGACAATGGGAGACCATCCAAGCCACTGTCTTGGGACGAGACAGGAAGGCGGACCAGTTACCCACAGGATCAAACTCCAAGGTGCCTGCGAGCTGCTCCTCGCCTCCTAAACTGTCCATGTACAGCTGGTACGTCACACCTGTGTCCAGGAGGCCGGAGCGGGCTGGCGTACGTGTCTCTGGAATAATTCACGTCGTCATCCAGGGGTTATTTCCTAGATGATTAGATGATTGTTTAACACAATCTTAGTGTTCCTACAAGTCTTACAATCACTGTTATAATACCATCCATCAAATTTGATAGAACTTTTAGCAACTATTGGTGGAACATTCAATATTTAATGTTGGCCCTAAAACAAATAATACTGTATGTGATTAAGGTGAAGCATTGTCTTACCTAACAAGGACACGAGTCCACCGTAGGGCAGGAAGACGTCTGAGTCCCTGTGGTAGGTGCTGGTCCAGTTGAAGAAACCACCGTCTTCAGAACTGGCGTTGACTGCGTCGCGGAGGAGGCCAGGAGACTCGTGCGTCAGCCAGATGTAACGCTGATGCGCATGTCGAACTTCCGGCACATTTCTTGGGTGAAAATCAAAGGCGTGGAAGATGATGGCGTCTGCCACGGAGGCCTCAGAGACGTTGTGGGTGAAGACGCAGTTGGCTGTGGGACACAGGCTTAGGTCAGTCCGGTTCCCCAAGAGATCTTTCCAGCTTTTCCGGCCGAAGAATGTCGTGTAAAGGAGAACTTTTTTGGGTGAAGATTCCAGTTGGGGAGTGAGAAGATGGGTGTCTTGTTGGTACTGTGAGGGGTCGCTTACCACTTCATGTGACCCATGAAGGTATGGATCAACCTTCTCTCTCTTATTGGTTTTGACTGTTTCTGATGCTTTTCTCTGCACTTTTTCTCCTTTTCTTGTGGTTGTAACTTTCACTCTGGCAGTGTCCTCAAGTCCTGTTATGCCTTCAAGAGACTGTGCTTCAGGCTGTACTCCAGGCTGTACTTCAGACTGTACACCAGGCTGTACTTTAGACTGTGCACCAGGCTGCACTTCAGACTGTGCACCAGGCTGTACTTCAGACTGTACACCAGGCTGTACTTCAGACTGTGCACCAGGCTGTACTTCAGACTGTGCACCAGGCTGTACTTCAGACTGTGCACCAGGCTGTACTTCAGACTGTACACCAGGCTGTACTTCAGGCTGTATTTTTAACTTAACCAGAGACTGTAATCGCCTTGTGTGCGATGCCAGTACTCTCCTCATTATTCCTTTTATCAACTGGTACTCCATTTTATCAAGAATACTTTCTTCCTGTTCTCGCATGTTCCTTACAATATTCTCGGGCACAAGATTTTGGGAACTTGTGTTTTGATGATAATGTTCATTAACATTATAAACCGGCGTTATACTGATGGTTTGAGGCCTCCCTGGTGCCATAGATGTGCTCTCGTAGCTGCTGTAAACACAGAAAAAAAGAACTCCGGCGAGAGAAAACAGACACAGTCGACAGACTCGTCTGTGGGTTGCCATCCTGCGGAGGGTTCTGTGACAGAGGACCTTCCTGCTGGGGGAGCTTCGAACCGTCACCAGCGGTAAGGGCGTCGACGTCCAGCGGACACACTCGGGTTCCCAACGCTGCATGTTGACCAGTCTACCAGATCTAGAGCGCCTGAGGGGTCAAGCAATCAGGTCTGGTGTCTGAAGGGTTTAACAATCAGATCTAGAGTATCTGAGGGGGGTCCAACGATCAGATCTATAGTGTCTGCGGGGGTCATAACAATCCGATGTACTGTATATGAGGGATAAAACAATCAGGTCTAGAGTATATGCTGAGTCAAACAATCAGATCTAAAGTACCTGATGGGTCAAACAGTCATATCTAGACTAACTGAGAGGTCAGACAATCAGATCTAGAGTATCTGAGGAGTGAAATAATCAGCTCCAAGGTTACCGAAGGGGTCAAACAATCAGATCTAGAGTATCTGAGAAGTCAGATAATCAGATTTACAACACTACACGTCAATCAGTAACCTAGATTCTTGAATAATCAGTTCACTCGGATTTAAAATTGATATACCAGGACCAATAAATCTACATTCTACACCCAACTTCCTTTCTGCTGGTGTTCTAGGTGAGGTTTGTGTACACAACAATGCACAACGATAGTACGTGTGTGTAAACTAGTTTGTGTTCTAGCAATGTTAATGTTCTTCTTGATGTTCTAAGATAAGCTGGTTCCTTTCACATAAAAGCCTAGCCAACTTCTTGGACACTTCTTAATTATGTAAGATGGCTAATTCCTGCAAAACTCGATTGGTCGTCTCGACTAGATCCTGTACAAACGTTGATGTGATGTGCTAGGATCGTCCCTGTAGAAACGTTGATGTAATATGCTAGGATAGTCCCTGTACTCTCCCAGCTGACATTACCGGTACACTCTCAGCTGCTAGGAGGCTGTGCTGACCAAACATTCCATTTTCTTTTTTAAATTTCTGAGTATGTTGTTCCGTGCCAATCAGGAAGCTCAGGATGGTCATTGTACACGTGGTGTGGGATGATAGCATCTGTACACTGTCATTTGGACGGTTGTATATCTTGTTGACCAGACCACACACTAGAAGGTGAAGGGACGACGGCGTTTCGGTCCGTCCTATGTCTTCCTGTACATTCTCTTCTCAACTGACGGGTTCAGCACGACTCTCCTATCTCCATAGTTTAGCCGTCTGAAATGTGGAATTGAAATAGAAAAGATTAAAATTTTAATTCATTTTGTTGGGGACAAGCAGCCTGTGTATATATTTATACGCTAAGCTTATATAGAAATCACCACGAGGTCGAACTACTGACGTTTTCTAAGATGCAACCCCCATAAGCTGACTAACTCAAGGATACCAATTTACTACTAAGTGAACAGAGGCATTAGGCGGTAGGAAACGTGCCCAACCGTTTCTGTCCCGCCTGGGGTTTACGATTGTGAGTTGAGATCAAACCCGACTGTACTACCGAGACCCTATTAAAGCATGAGAGGGAATTTTTGTAATATTATTTGTAACAATATTGAGAGAAGCCAAGTGTGGCTGAAATTTCCCCACATCCCTTACGTGTGTGTGTGTGTGCGCGCATACGCGAACACGCACGCGCGCGCGCGCGCGCACACACACACACACACACACACACACACACACACACACACACACACACACACACACACACACACACACACACACACACACACACACACACACACACACACACACACACACTCTCTCTCTCTCTTTATGGAATGCATTAGGCAGTGATGTGGTGGAGGCTGACTCCATACACAGTTTCAATGTAGATATGATAGAGCTCAATAGACTCAGGAATCTGCACACCAGTTGATTGACAGTTGAGAGGCGGGACCAAAGAGCCGAAGCTCAACCCCCGCAAGCACAATTAGGCGATCACGATTGCGCATGAGAGCTACCTACTGCTGCATGTGTTATCATTGCTAAGTGAGCTCAGTTTATCCAACCCAACATTACGTAAATTAATTAAATTGATCCTCCCCCCCCCCCCACCCCTCGAACTACGTAGCAATTTAGTTGTTTGTTGCTCGTTAGAGCTGATTTTGTAATTTGTGACAAGGCTTTTATTGTCGTTGAGCGTGACGGCTCTCTGGTGGTGGGGCAGGTCACTGTAGGGAGTGTGTAGTGGTCCTAGTACACTGTACCTCACACTGTAACCCCTGGTGTACCACACACTGTAACCCCTGGTGTACCACACACTGTAACCCCTGGTGTACCACACACTGTAACCCCTGGTGTACCACACACTAACCCCTGGTGTACCTCATACTGTAACCCCTGGTGTACCTCATACTGTAACCCCTGGTGTACCTCATACTGTAACCCCTGGTGTACCTCATACTGTAACCCCTGGTGTACCTCATACTGTAACCCCTGGTGTACCTCATACTGTAACCCCTGGTGTACCTCACACTGTAACCCCTGGTGCACCACACACTGTAACCCCTGGTGCACCACACACTGTAACCCCTGGTGTACCTCACACTGTAACCCCTGGTGCACCACACACTGTAACCCCTGGTGTACCTCATACTGTAACCCCTGGTGTACCACACACTGTAACCCCTGGTGTACCTCACACTGTAACCCCTGGTGTACCACACACTGTAACCCCTGGTGTACCTCACACTGTAACCCCTGGTGAACCTCATACTGTAACCCCTGGTGTACCTCACACTGTAACCCCTGGTGTACCTCACACTGTAACCCCTGGTGTACCTCACACTGTAACCCCTGGTGTACCTCACACTGTAACCCCTGGTGTACCTCATACTGTAACCCCTGGTGTACCTCACACTGTAACCCCTGGTGTACCTCATACTGTAACCCCTGGTGTACCTCACACTGTAACCCCTGGTGTACCACACACTGTAACCCCTGGTGTACCACACACTGTAACCCCTCGTGTACCACACACTGTAACCTCTGGTTTACCACACACTGTAACCCCTCGTGTACCTCATACTGTAACCCCTGGTTTACCTCACACTGTAACCCCTGGTCCCTGGTGTACCTCACTGTAACCCCTGGTTTACCACACACTGTAACCCCTGGTGTACCACACTGTAACCCCTGGTGTACCTCATACTGTAACCCCTGGTGTACCTCACACTGTAACCCCTGGTGCACCACACACTGTAACCCCTGGTGTACCTCACTGTAACCCCTGGTGTACCACACACTGTAACCCCTGGTGTACCTCACTGTAACCCCTGGTGTACCACACACTGTAACCCCTGGTGTACCTCACACTGTAACCCCTGGTGTACCTCACACTGTAACCCCTGGTGTACCTCACACTGTAACCCCTGGTGCACCACACACTGTAACCCCTGGTGTACCTCACTGTAACCCCTGGTTTACCACACACTGTAACCCCTGGTGTACCTCACACTGTAACCCCTGGTGTACCTCACACTGTAACCCCTGGTGTACCTCACACTGTAACCCCTGGTGTACCTCACACTGTAACCCCTGGTGTACCTCACACTGTAACCCCTGGTGTACCTCACACTGTAACCCCTGGTGTACCTCACACTGTAACCCCTGGTGCACCACACACTGTAACCCCTGGTGTACCTCACTGTAACCCCTGGTTTACCACACACTGTAACCCCTGGTGTACCTCACACTGTAACCCCTGGTGTACCTCACTGTAACCCCTGGTTTACCACACACTGTAACCCCTGGTGTACCTCACACTGTAACCCCTGGTGTACCTCACACTGTAACCCCTGGTGTACCTCACACTGTAACCCTGGTGTACCTCACACTGTAACCCCTGGTGTACCTCACACTGTAACCCCTGGTGTACCTCACACTGTAACCCCTGGTGTACCTCACTGTAACCCCTGGTGTACCTCATACTGTAACCCCTGGTGTACCACACACTGTAACCCCTCGTGTACCTCACTGTAACCCCTGGTGTACCACACACTGTAACCCCTCGTGTACCACACACTGTAACCCCTGGTGTACCACACACTGTAACCCCTGGTGTACCACACACTGTAACCCCTGGTGTACCTCACACTGTAACCCCTGGTGTACCACACACTGTAACCCCTGGTGTACCACACACTAACCCCTGGTGTACCACACGCTGTAACCCCTGGTGTACCTCACACTGTAACCCCTGGTGTACCTCACACTGTAACCCCTCGTGTACCTCACACTGTAACCCCTAGTTTACCCTACACACACTGTAGTCTTCCACCCAGTCAACAGAATATTAACACAGGACAACGCATGTAAGAGTTACTCGAGGAAACGACCATGAAGTATGAAGTAAACAAACATGTTTCCAGTCATAAAGTACATTGATAAACGCTAGTTTGGGATTGTGTAGATTTGAGGAACGAATTATCGGGTGACGTCAATTGAAATTGAAATAAGTTTATTGAGGTAAAATACACACAAAGGGATGAGGTAACTCAAGCTATTCTCACCCCGTTCAGTACATCGTGTTAATATATACATAGACACACATCACAAACAATAAACACATTACCAAACATTCTGAGAGGTAAACATATACATTTCCTCCTTCACAAGTAGTATGGTATCAGACGTACACACAAATACTTTTATGTGGGTGACGTCAAGTACATGGGATCGTTGGAGTGTTTTAAGCGCAGCTCAGACATATATATGAGTTTGTGAGTATAGATAGGAGCTGCCTTGTATGGGAACTTACTCTCTTGTTTTTACACCAGAGTCAGGATTCGTCAACCTCGTAGTACTTCGCAACTCATAAACTTCAACAAAGTAGACACAATGATTGAGGAAAGATGTACAGGTTTCGCAAGTGAACACGTAAGTAGTTGTTGAATCCTGGCTCTGGTTTTCACAAAAAATATGAACAAGTTACATAATTGTACATACGATGAATGTAAAAGCTCTCTGTAGATTGTGAAAGGGAGACTCAAGCCCCTCGTCCCAGCTGTTGTGAAGAGAGAGAGAGAGAGAGAGAGAGAGAGAGAGAGAGAGAGAGAGAGAGAGAGAGAGAGAGAGAGAGTGTGTGTGGCTGGTAATACTGAGACACTGATGCTGATTATCTGGGAAGTAACGTTGGAAATATGGAGAGTCACGCAAGGAGGCGGCAACCGGGAAGCTGCACACAAGGCACAAGCGCAAGGAATATGGAAATTGGTAGTGAAGAAGTATTCAGGAAGTTACGTACGAGGGAAGTAACCTTAGAAATATGGAAAGTATAGGGGAGGCAGGACTTGAAAACCCTTGGTGGGGATCTCCTAGGAACTACCCAAAGCGAAAGTGTTTACCGAGGAAAATATAAGTGCATTGCATCCCATGGAAATTCTAACATTTCTAACTGGTTTGCTTTTCAGATATCGGTTCGCTAAGCCTATTTAAAGATTATTCTTCTACGTAATAAAAAAAAGGTCTAATTTTCTCCTCTGATTCTGCATCCACAAAATCGTATACAGAAGTCAGTAATATTCATCTCGATATAGCAATTCCTTGGTACACTAAGATATGTTAACAGTCTCATAACACCTTCACTACATCGGCCTTATGTTTAACATTCCCTACCCGGAACAAAAAGTTCCAAGTAGCACGGGCTATGGTGAGCCCGTAGTGGACTTACCTGCTACAGGAGCGGGGCTGTAACTGTGATCTATCTTGAGGTTATCTTGAGATGATTTCGGGGCTTTTTAGTGTCCCCGCGGCCCGGTCCTCGACCAGGCCTCCACCCCCAGGAAGCAGCCCGTGACAGCTGACTAGCACCCAGGTACCTATTTTACTGCTAGGTGATCGGCCTTAAAATGGCCAAGGTTTTAGACGTAGCTTCCCCCACCAGTATGCCTACCCTCACAGCTATTGGAGAGGTGTTGTAAACGCAGACATCGACCTGTATTATTACCCCGGTGGGTTAGTGCACCTGGGTGCGTGTAGTGCACCGCGGGTGTCGACGCAGGAGTAGGCAGTGTTAGTCCCCTCACCGACCACCACAGACTGACTTACCCAACAAGCCCTGGAACTCTGCGGGAGGCTGGAGCTTCCTGTGGGGGAGAGAGAGAGAGGGAGGGGCGGAGGGGGGAGTGAGGGAGAGACAGGAGAGTGAAGGTTCGTGCTATCAATAGCATGCTATCATGCTATCAAGCAAAGAAAGAAGGAGTGAGAGGACAATCTGTCCTATAAAAAATGTCGCTTTTGGCACATATGTGTAACATAAGGCCAAAAATTGTCTTACTAAAAAAATGGAAGCGGCTGGCGAAAGTGACGTACTGTCCCGTTTTCTGTTTTGGGTCCTCTGGTAGGTTAGGAGAGACCTTATTTAAGTAACTTATTTAAGTAACTTATTTAAGTTAACCCAGGCGCCGGCGAGAAACAATGGGCAGAGTTTCTTTCACCCTATCCCCCTGTTACCTAGCAGTATAATAGGTACCTGGGTGTTAGTCAGCTGTCACAGGCTGCTTCCTGGGGGTGGAGGCCTGGTCGAGGACCGGGCCGCGGGGACACTAAAGCCCCGAAATCATCTCAAGAAGTATCCATCGCCCGATGAACTGGAACTTTTGAAGACAAACTATATTATTGTTTTCAGTTCATAAATATATTGTAAGTATAATTAAGCATTCGTGTGACAGTTAGTTATTTCAAGATCAATATAAGAGTTCCTTTAAGAGTGCCTCGTGTGTGATGACGTATAGCAGCTCTTACCACACGACTCCTGGGAGCACCTTACGTAATTATGAGACGTCACGGCACGTGAACTGGCACACGACTCTTTCCCACGACCAGGCTCCAGTAGTCGTCTGGCATACCCTCGACCAGGCTCCAGTAGTCGTCTGCTTGTTATACCCACGACCAGGCTCCAGTAGTCGTCTGCTTGTTATACCCACGACCAGGCTCCAGTAGTCGTCTGCTTGTTATACCCACGACCAGGCTCCAGTAGTCGTCTGGCATACCCACGACCAGGCTCCAGTAGTCGTCAGTCATACTCACGACCAGGCTCCAGTAGTCGTCTGTCATACTCACGACCAGGCTCCAGTAGTCGTCTGTCATACCCACGACCAGGCCCCAGTAGTCGTCTGTCATACTCACGACCAGGCCCCAGTAGTCGTCTACCTGTCATACCCACGACCAGGCTCCAGTAGTCGTCAGTCATACTCACGACCAGGCTCCAGTAGTCGTCTACCTGTCATACCCACGACCAGGCTCCAGTAGTCGTCTGTCATACCCACGACTAGGCCCCAGTAGTCGTCTGTCATACCCACGACCAGGCTCCAGTAGTCGTCTACCTATCATACTCTACAAGAAAAAGAATCAGATGAACCCCAATCTGCTCCGCATCATTGCAGAGATGAGATTGGTATCAAACTTGGCATCTGACAGCTTAACACACTTCACACACGGATCAGTAGACCAACAGACAAGAATCTGCAGCTCGAGTTAAGACAGGAAATTATGTAGTTGATTGGAGACTCACACATGTGCTTGACTTTACAAGCAGAGATACTAGCCATTTAAAACGCTTTGGCACATGTTCTTGTTGAACACCAACAACTTGTTATCATTGTGGTGAGAGGCCCGACATAAAGCTGGAACATTATTTTAACACGGTGTAGAGAATACAAATGAAGTAAGATTACTAAGATTTAACAGCGTAGAGGTAGTTGTAAAACACATAATATTACTGAAACCAACATACGAGTGTAAACACTCATTTACCACCAAAGTAAGATGTAGTAAGATTCTTCTAACTGAAGAACAGTTAGTGGGACAGTCAGAGGCTTAAGGCCCGCGCAGGATTATCCCTGCAAAAACAATAAATACATGTACTCCTCCTAATAAGTCAGGTTTTTAACAATAAACCAAGCCGTTAAACTTGCGACGTATCAGTAACAATTAAAGACTTGTAATATTGCCGTTTTCTATACACCTGCCTCGATAGACTAGGTGGGTTGCTTGGGTTCGCTTGTTTCTGGTTAAAGATAGAACATGGATTTAAGATTCACATGGAACCCTTCCCCACTTCGGTCTTCAAAGGAGTCTCTCTCGAGTATTTGCTACTACCACCAAGATCTGCACCGTTACATTTTTTACGGAGTGGCAAATCGAGAGAACGGAATTCACTGAGGACAGTCCAAAAAAATCCAAGTGTTTTGGCTAACCAGGAACGTGTGAGCTGTTGGCTCGGGTGAGTGCTTCCCAGCGATGACGATATGTGTGTGGAAAGTGTGGGAGTCTCAGTATTACCGGCATCATTGTGTCAGAAGCGGCTACGTCATAGACGAACACTTGACACACCACCACTACATGTGCCTGATGAAATTATGTATTCATGTCATCTATACCTCTCTACTAAGTCATACACATAGCAACAAAAAACAATTAGATATATATCACTAATATATATTCCCTAAAATTAATTGCAACAAAAAAAATATATATCACTCATATTTTTTTTTATACCTAGAAGAGATACCACCTCTGGTGCAAGTGTAGGGACCCATAGCCTCGGAGAAGAAAATAAAGAGTACTCAGAGAAGACCTTGTGGGACCTAATATATATTCCCTAAAATTAATATTTAAAAGTTAAAAGAAAATTATATACAAATAAAAGACAAAATTATATACACGAAACAAGAATAGTATAAGAACTCAACACATACTTAAGAGAAGATGACAACGAATTAACAATCGAGTCTACAACCCGTCTTCAGACCAAGTCCATTCCATCCAGCGGTCGACCCCAAAACCCATTCATAAATTTTAACATGCTGTTCATTCAAAACAGGAATTGTCTCAAATATAAATTAATATTGTTTTATTAATATATGCATACTGTGCATATATAGGCACTGTTAGGTTAGGTGTTTAGGTTCTGTTGGCGATTATTTGTATTTGTAGTACGTGGGTGAAGCATTTATAGCGTTGTGATTCGAACAAAATTCGTCAGTGAAGCACTTGTTCCGGATATGTTCGAACGTCAGCAGTTGTGAGTCGTGTGTAAACCGCTTTTCATTCATAAACAGGGGGTTTGGCGGGTGCATGGAATCACTTTTGGATCTTTGTTTGGAGGACGGGCTGGTTGTGTTTGTAGTACGTGGGTGAAGCATTTATAGAATTGTGGTTCGAACAGAGGACGTCAGCGAAGCACTGTTCGAGAAATGTTCGAACGTCATCAGTTGTGAGTCATGTGTAAACCGCTTTTCATTCATAAACAGGGGGGTTTGGCGGCTGGATTAACGAGCTTGGGCCTTTGTTTATGAGGACGACCTGACATTGAATGGACTTTGGTCTTTGTGTATGAGGACGGGCTGGAGTCGACGACTCCGAGCTGTTCAACTCAGGTTTCATTGTAAATGTTGAAACCTTTTATAAAATGTTAAGTTAAAGGCGACACGAACTAAAAGACAGAACAGTGAAATTGCTTTAGGAGAAAGGGTCGTGGCCCTTATCTTTGCTGTGTTATCTAATATTAAAGGACGCACATTGCCTAAGAGGCAGACTAGTAAGGTAAGAGATGACAATATGTTCACAAATACAGTGATTTAGGTTTCGTGAGATATTTCCCACTTATCAAACGTTTTGTAAATATCGTACGTTTCACTTCGAACATTTAAACAGGTAAACAACACTAGATCTGAGTTCAAAGGGTAGTGTTGTTGTTGTTGTGGGAGATTCAGCTACTCGGAATGTTGCAAAATCCAAAGAATGAATGAATGTATGCAGGTGATGAGTCACAATAACGTGGCTAAAGTAAGTTGACCAGACCACACACTAGAAGGTGAAGGGACGACGACGTTTCGGTCCGTCCTGGATCATTCTCAAGTCGACTTGAGAATGGTCCAGGACGGACCATTCGTCGGACCGTCGTCGTCCCTTCACCTTCTAGTGTGTGGTCTGGTCAACATGAATGAATGTAGCTTGGATAAGTTCCAAGTAGCCCTAGTCCACTACGGGCTCATCAAAGGCCGTAGTGGACTAGGGAACTTTACATTTTAAATAGTTCACTCACAATAACACATTCCAATGGTGTTATTGTGAGTGAACACCAACTGGGAACTAACTTGAGGATAAGTTTGTCGAAGAATACTTCAAATTCAAATTCTAAAAATTTGCTGAACACCAACAACACGTTATCATTGTGGTGAAATACCCGACATAAAACTGGAACATTATTTAACACAGTGAATTCACTTCTAAATTCTTTCCTAATGTAATAACTTACCGTACCTAAATATGGAAAATTTAGATAAAATCGTAGATAAAATATTCAGTTTTTATTTCTAGAGGGATTTATTTGTAGAGGTAGCGATGGCTATTTTGAATTCATGTATTTATGTACTGTAATATAAAAAATAATGTTATTAGCTATATTTTGTTTAGTATACCTTAATATATCAAATTTTCTATGAGTCAAAAACATTCTCGTGTTCTCTTATTTTGTATTTAATGGGATACTATTTTATACTGATAGAGACGATAACGAGAGAGATTGAGACTTATTTACAAATACAAAATATATAATAGTAATGTTAGTTTGCACGTAGAACTATATTATCAGAATTTCAAACAATATTTCATTTTTACCTGAGTTTGTATTATTTTTTCTAATGCTACGCTACTGAAATTTTCAACTAATTTTGATGTTTAATCACTGAAAGGTCCAACTGCTTGGGTTGGACGGTAGAGCGACGGTCTCGCTTTATGCAGGTCGGCGTTCAATCCCCGACCGTCCACAAGTGGTTCGTCACCATTCCTTTCCCTCCGTCCCATCCCAAATCCATATCTTGATCCCTTCCTAGTGCTTAGCAGTCCCCGTGGCGCAGTGGTAACACTCGACCCACGTAACGCGAACGATTTGTACTGGGTTCGTATCTTGGCCGGGGAGGATTGACTAGGTGCCAATCCTTAACTGTTTACCCAACAGTTAATGGGATACCTTTATTGTTGTATAAAGGTATCCCATTATACAACAATAAAGGGATGTTGTTGTATAATGGGATATACAACAACATTAAATAGTTTAACAACCTGGTTGTTAAACTATTCGGTGGGGTCGTATTAGAGGGTCAATTAAGATTAAGGTCCAGCCTGAGACGCTGTGAGTGTTAGCGGCTACCCAAGAATGTAAGAACTTTTGTATATTTAAAATAAAATATAGTCGCAATTGCTTGGCGCTTTCTCCTGAAAGTTCCCTTCCCCTTCACTTTGAATATTATATATATGTTTTGGTAAAAGTAATGAAGTGATTACTTTACCTTTCTTTGTATTTTGAATAACATATTAATCTTTCATTACAGGTCTCCAAACTCTGCACTTGGCGCCTGGTAAGTTCACTTTGTGTTCACTGTTCAACTATAACATTATATATATATATATATATATATATATATATATATATATATATATATATATATATATATATATATATATATATATATCCAAGGTTAAACTATACTGGTCATCCTCGGGATGGAACTCTACAACAGTTGCCTAACTCCCGGGTACCTAGTTACTACTAGGGTGAACAGAGGCATTACGTGCAAGGAATCGTGCCCAACCATTTCTGTCCCGCAAGGGAAACGAACCCTGTATTCCCCGAGTTTGAGTAGAGTAGAGTCTCCGTGGTGTAGTGAGTAGAGTAGAGTCTCCGTGGTGTAGTGAGTAGAGTAGAGTCTCCGTGGTGTTGTGGTAAGACACTCGCCTGGCGTTCCGCGAGCGCTATGTCATGGGTTCGTATCCTGGCCGGGGAGGATTTACTGGGCGCAAATCCTTAACTGTAGTCTCTGTTTAACTCAACAGTAAAATGTGTACTTGGTTGTAACAAGGATTCTTCGCGGCGGGGATCGTATTCCAGGGACCTGTCCGAAACGCTACGCGTACTAGTGGCTCTACAAGAATGTAACAACTCTTCTATATATCTCTAAAAAAAAATTGTCAAATATTTATGATAGTTAACGCTAAAATACTAGAATTTCTATCGTTTTCTTTGGTTAAAAACGGCATCATCTTATAACAAAATAAATAATTTTATGTAAAAATGGGCTTATGGTGCGTAACTATTTTATTATTATTAACATCTTTATTGACAAAATTAATTACAATTTTGCCTTATCTGAGGATTTTGATAAAGTCTTATTAAAGTGAGGATAATGCTGGTATTCACTGTCAACTAGGCTATGATAAGGCTTACAAGAATATATGAGATTCATCATAAAATAGTGAATATAATGATGCTGGCCACTAGAGATTGCTTAGTGCAGTAAGATGGTATAAATGCATTAAGCCATGTTGAGGTGATATCTTTCTCTCATTATTACAGCTGCTATCTTTACTATCATTATTACAGCTGCTATCTTACTCTCATTATTACAGCTGCTATCTTACTGTCATTATTACAGCTGCTATCTTACTGTCATTATTACAGCTGCTATCTTGCTGTCATTATTACAGCTGCTATCTTGCTGTCATTATTACAGCTGCTATCTTACTGTCATTATTACAGCTGCTATCTTGCTGTCATTATTACAGCTGTTGTCTTACTGTCATTATTACAGCTGCTATCTTACTGTCATTTTTACAGCTGCTGTCTTACTGTCACTACTATAGCTGCTATCTTACTGTCACTACTAAAGCTATCTTACTGTCACTGCTATAGCTGCTATCTTACTGTCACTGCTATAGCTGCTATCTTACTGTCACTGCTATAGCTGCTATCTTACTGTCACTACTATAGCTGCTATCTTATTGTCACTACTAAAGCTGCTGTCACTGCTATAGCTGCTATCTTACTTTCACTACTGTAGTTGCTATCTTACTGTCACTGCTATAGCTGCTATCTTACTGTCACTACTGTAGTTGCTATCTTACTGTCACTACTATAGCTGCTATATTTCTGTCACTGCTATAGCTGCTATCTTATTGTCACCACTATAGCTGTTATCTTACTGTCACTACTGTAGTTGCTATCTTACTGTCACTACTGTAGTTGCTATCTTACTGTCACTGCTATAGCTGCTATCTTACTGTCACTACTGTAGTTGCTATCTTACTGTCACTGCTATAGCTGCTATCTTACTGTCACTACTGTAGTTGCTATCTTACTGTCACTGCTATAGCTGCTATCTTATTGTCACCACTATAGCTGTTATCTTACTGTCACTACTATTGCTGCTATCTTATTGCCACCAGTAAAGCTGCTATCTTACTGTCACTACTATATTTCCCGCTGTCACTCATAGTGTTTCATAAATAAAACTTTACTTTAATGTTTAATTATAAATTATTAAATTATTAATTATATAAAAATATACCTACAAGAGCATGGCCCAAGAAGAAATTCAAATGTTATGTTTAATTGAGTCTCCCTGAAAACGTTTTTTATCATTTTCTTAAATACAGTAAAGATGGCGTTAAATTCCCGTAGGTTTTATTATTTAGATAACCTATCTCCCCTCCCCCCCCCACACACACACACACAATAGGGGGTAGAAATAGCCTAAGCTACAATGAACAAATCTACAAGGGCCGTGACGAGGATTCGAACCTACGTCTGTAAGCAAAGAAAGATAGAGTAGCCTAAGCTACTCTATCCCTTTGAAATGTATTTTTTTCTTGTCTCAATAAACATTCTTGAATAGTCTACAGTTGCTGCCAAAAAATGCAGTTGTATCTAAGTATGTAAACAAAATTTTTGTGTGTCTTTGGGACTATAGAAATTTTATATTGCAGGTTATATATGTGATTTTATATCATTAGTCTTTGGCAGTCATTTTTTATTGATTTCTTTGACCAGTTTGTTAATTGGTTAATTGATGCCAATAATTATAATGACTGTTTATGTTCTTTATAAGTTTATATTTTTATATTTCATTCTTTTTTCAAGTTTAATTATGATATTGTGTTTAATATTTAAAAATATATTTCATTAAGATTGTTTTAAGTTGTATTATGTATCATTCAGTTATTTTCTTATTGTTTACCAGTATCTTAGATATTTATTGACATCTTCTGATGCCTTAGGTAATATTCAGTCATATTTAAAGGGTTGGGATAGGTAAAGTTGCATAAATTTAAATATTTTATTAAATATTTGGATGAATTTGTATTTTGATGAATAATGTGAGATGATGAAGCGAGTGGCGCGTATCACAGAAGGTATCACTTGGCGTGTCGGCCTATCACAGCAGATCCCGGGGGCGGGGCTATCACAGAATGCTAGAAGGGGGCGCTCCTCATTGGTCGGCGGCACCTCTGATTTGACAAGTTGAACAGGTTGCTGGCAAACCATTGGCTGAAGCTTCCTCGAGGGTTGAAGAGCACGATGATTGGTTACCAAGGGCGCCACATGGGACCAGAGGGCGCGGCGATAGTAAGGAGCCCCTGGGGGCGGGGAGACGGACTGCTGCTGCTGCTGCTCCTGCTGCTACTGCTGCTGCAGGAGGGAGAACTGCTACTGTTCCTGCTGGAGGTGGATGGCGTGGGGGAGAGCTCGGAGGCAGAAGAGTAACCACTGGATGCTGACGAGAGCGCGGGCGAAGGCTCTGCCTGAGGCACGAAGATGGTGAGGGGCGCTCTCTTCTCATAGTTAGTGAGGGAGATGCCGAGGTGGGTCATGAGCTTGGTGCCGAGGGTGACGTCCACGCCCTGGACGGAGGCCAGGCACCGGGACACCTCCGAGGCGCAGTGACTGTAGCCCTCCCGGAACTTATCTTGATCTGTAGGGATGGGGCGCACGGCGAGCTGGTTACGACGCTGAAGTTTCTTGAGATGCGTCACCGTCAACTCCAAGACGTCAGCCTTCTCTAGCTTGGCGATGGACTCGCCCTCCGCCTGTAGCGCTGAGACCATCAGGTCCTTGAGTTCGTCGAGGCACTTGTTGATGCGCGCCCTGCGCTTGCGCTCCAGCATGGGCTTCATGACCTTGCGGTACTGGTAGGTGCGGGATAGCGGCTCCAGTTCACAAGCCATCTTGGGGTTCAACACACACACTCCACCAAACAGTCAAAAGTTCACCAAAGTGTCGTACGTGCAGCGGTAAGCTGATGGCGGAGCTGTGCTCTCTGAGCGAGTATGAGAATGAGTATGCGGTTCACGGCGAGTCTCGCGCCTTATATCCGCCAGGAGGAGGAAGGGGCGGAGTCCGCGAGCGTGAGAACGGGTCGGTCGTACGCGTTCCCACACACCCACCACCTGCCTGCCGCAGCTGCCGCGCCCCTGCCAGATACCGCCACCTCCCCGCCCGCGCCGCACCCGCACGCTTGCCGCACTACGCCGAACACATCCGCGTTTAAAGCACTTCCACGCAATGACCTGAATAAAGAGTTTAGCGGCCTCTGACGACCAGTAGTGCATCACATATTACCTAAAGACAAGGACCACATATTCACCGCCTCAAATTGATCATTGATCTCTCTCTATATATAAATATATATATATATATATATATATATAAATGTATATAAATATGTATAAATGTATATTATATATATATTTATAAACTTAGATGTTCATAAGATCATTAAGTATATTTTTGTTAATGCTATCATGGCTTAGGTGGTGATGTTGGTGTGTGGTGGCGGCGTGCGGCACCTCCATGCCCCGTGCTTACTCCGGGGGGGTCGATGGGGGGTGATGGGGGCGGCCGCAGGGGGGGAGGGGTGGTCGGGGTGCGCTGGAATGTCTCAAGACACGGGCAGATGTTTTCCCACAGTCTCAGCGGTGGCTGGACGTACGAACACACGCGCGCACACACACACACACACGCACACACCGCCTCCCCGCGCGCGCACACACACCGCCTCCCTCACACACGCACGCACACACACACTCATCTAAACTTGGGCACGTGACGGCCTATCATTACTGCCTGCCTTGATATTCCCTTCTGCCATCACGGTAAACATGTACCTATTCTACATATACCAACATACATATATACATTTGAGAATCCATTGAAAACCAGAAATAGAAAAGAGGTGACGTAAGTGTGTGTGTGGAGGCCAGACGACCTGTGGCAACCCCGGCACGAGGCACAACACGGCGCCACTTTTTGTCAGCGAATGAAACACCTCTGCAGGAGCGGGTCCTCTTACACGCTGACCACAGCCTAATAGATTTGGTTCCCTCTGCTCTCTTGCCCTTATCCGGTGATGGTACTGACACGTTGTTGTCATCCCCAGGTGAGCAAGAGACGGTGGGGGGGACGGGTTTGACAGGAGGGTTCGGGGTATGGACGTTTGGCCGGGGTCAGAGGAGACGCGGCCAGGCATAGGGTCTGTGAGAGACATTAATCCCAGCGATGGCCGCGAGCTGCCATGCATATTGATGTGGGTTAGAGGAAGTGCCAGCCAGCACACCCAGCCTGGTAATGAAGGGTGGGTTACGTGGCCTGGAGGGTCATGCTACTCCCTAGCCCTCTACCACCACTCTTTTGGTTCATCTACCCCCTCAACATACTTCATCTACCCTTCATCTACCCCTCTCTATGGAGGCTACAGTAAGGTAGCTGGTCTTGACCCTCTCACACACACACCTGGTCTCAAAGGATCACATGTGCAGCTTCAATCTCAAAAGACATTTATGAGGTATGGAAATGAATGAACAGTTAAGCTTCCCGTTGAGTCAGGCTTTTCCCAGTAAGTCCCGGCCAGGTGATGACTCAGCCATTGATACATTGATGAGGCGTTCCGGAGGCTGGCAAGTGGTCGCTCACAAGGTGGTACAGATGTGTCTCAGGTGGTCGCAAGATGACAGGTGACAAGGACGAGGGGGACATGCCTCCTACAACCTGACACTAACAACTTATAACTCTGTGGTTTTTAATGATCTACTTAATTTTTGAGATCTTATGATTAATATGGAACCTTGCGAGTCTTTCAACGAGCTCTGTCTTCTAGTTTATATGTACACATAGCAACTATTTAGGACGAAAACTGTGACATTTCACTCACGAGTAATCAGAGAGTATTTAGGAAGGTTTTATGTGGATGGTCTGATGTTATGTGGATGACCAAATGAGGGACAATAATTATAGTCGCGGGATCGAGCGACTCAAGAATGAATGAATGAATGACACTCTAGATTGATTAAAGCATAAGAATGTGGATTAAGAATCATCCATAAGATTCTTTCACCTATTCTAAAATCCCAATAATCATCCCTCAAGAAAACACTAACATGACGTTCTCATAACTCGTGGTCATCGGTGAGGCAGCATAGATCTTCATGGCGCTGACTGCTATGCTGCTCATGCTTTGAGTCACACCTCCTGACCAGGCTGGGTTTGTGCAGGAATTTCCTGGTGCGTGATGTGAGATCTGTCCCAATGGTCCCTTTGGGGGGGAAGGGGTTAGGAAGGAGTGACAGAGAGAGACAGACAGACAGACAGACATGAACCTCTGGGTATCCAAGTGGGATTAAACCCCACAGACATCGGACTTTACATGTCAAGTTCGCATTACAGATCTTAAGATGAAACGCCTCACTGACCTGCCGAATTTCATAACAAAATTATGAGGTTTCAGTGGAGTGTATCCGGTTCGGAGTGTCTTGGTTCGGCTGCTGTAATCGTCTGGTTCTAGCAGCTAGGAACGGCTGGTTCTAGTAGCTAGGGACGGCTGGTTCTAGCAGCTAGGGACGGCTGGTTCTAGTAGCTAGGAACGGCTGGTTCTAGCAGCTAGGGACGGCTGGTTCTAGTAGCTAGGGACGGCAGGTTCTAGCAGCTAGGAACGGCTGGTTCTAGCAGCTAGGAACAGCTGGTTCTAGTAGCTAGGGACGGCTGGTTCTAGTAGCTAGGGACGGCTGGTTCTAGTAGCTAGGAACAGCTGGTTTTAGTAGCTAGGGACGGCTGGTTCTAGTAGCTAGGGACGGCTGGTTCTAGTAGCTAGGGACGGCTGGTTCTAGTAGCTAGGAACAGCTGGTTTTAGTAGCTAGGGACGGCTGGTTCTATCAGCTAGGGACGGCTGGTTCTATCAGCTAGGGACGGCTGGTTCTATCAGCTAGGGACGGCTGGACCTATGGGCTAGGGACGGCTGGACCTATGGGCTAGGGACGGCTGGACCTATGGGCTAGGGACGGCTGGACCTATGGGCTAGGGACGGCTGGACCTATGGGCTAGAGGCGTCTGGACCTATGGGCTAGGGGCGTCTTGACTTATGGGCTAGGGGCGTCTGGACCTATGGGCTAGGGGCGTCTGGACCTATGGGCTAGGGGCGTCTGGACCTATGGGCTAGGGACGTCTGGACCTATGGGCTAGGGGCGTCTGGACCTATGGGCTAGGGGCGTCTGGACCTATGGGCTAGTGGCGTCTGGACCTATGGGCTAGGGACGTCTGGACCTATGGGCTAGGGGCGTCTGGACCTATGGGCTAGGGGCGTCTGGACCTATGGGCTAGGGGCGTCTGGACCTATGGGCTAGGGGCGTCTGGACCTATGGGCTAGGGGCGTCTGGACCTATGGGCTAGGGACGTCTGGACCTATGGGCTAGGGGCGTCTGGACCTATGGGCTAGGGGCGTCTGGACCTATGGGCTAGGGGCGTCTGGACCTATGGGCTAGGGGCGTCTGGACCTATGGGCTAGGGACGTCTGGACCTATCGACACTTCCGCTCTGCCTTATTTAAATGCGACCAGGTACTGATTTAATCCTGTGAGTGTAAGAACATTTCCTGTAGGCCTACCTCTACCATTCATTAGTGGTCCATTCATTCTTTCCTAGGCCTAATGACCCCTCGACGCCTCAAGGTCGGTGAGTTGTGATCACTGGGTTATGTTGTGTCCACTGGTTATGTTGTGGTCATTGTTATGTTGTGATCACTGGTTATGTTGTGGTCATTGTTATGTTGTGATCACTGGTTATGTTGTGGTCATTGTTATGTTGTGTCCACTGGTTATGTTGTGGTCACTGTTATGTTGTGATCACTGGGTTGTTATGTTGTGGTCACTGTTATGTTGTGTCCACTGGTTATGTTGTGGTCATTGTTATGTTGTGATCACTGGTTATGTTGTGGTCATTGTTATGTTGTGTCCACTGGTTATGTTGTGGTCACTGTTATGTTGTGATCACTGGGTTGTTATGTTGTGGTCACTGTTATGTTGTGTCCACTGGTTATGTTGTGGTCATTGTTATGTTGTGATCACTGGTTATGTTGTGGTCATTGTTATGTTGTGATCACTGGTTATGTTGTGGTCATTGTTATGTTGTGTCCACTGGTTATGTTGTGGTCACTGTTATGTTGTGATCACTGGTTATGTTGTGGTCACTGTTATGTTGTGATCACTGGGTTGTTATGTTGTGGTCACTGTTATGTTGTGATCACTGGGTTGTTATGTTGTGGACACTGTTATGTTGTGGTCACTGTTATGTTTTGGTCACTGGTTATGTTGTGGTCATCGGGTGTTATTACAACCAATGTATTTTATGTTAAATATTGTCCAGGTATTGTTGTTGTTAAAGATTCGCTACCTGGAACAAAGTTCCAAGTAGCACCGGCTATGGTGAGCCCGTAGGAAGGTGTCCTACCCTCCCCTCCCCTTCCCCCACTCCCCTCCCCTTCCCCCACTCCCCCTATGCTAATTTTTCACCTAAACGTAACATGTTATCTTTCCCAGAGGTCTCTTTCCTTTCTTCCCCTGATGTGGGCCATCTCGGCGGCGGCTGGTCAGGTTGTCCACTTTCGGTACGACTTCCGGTGCGGGCGTCTTTGTCGTTGTCTCAGAATCACAAGACGAATCGCTGTGGCGTGTGTGTGTGATCTTAGCTAATGGTTGTGACGCCGGAGATGTTCAGGTCGCGCGTCCGCTCCTGGAAGGAGGGAGGGAGGGAGGGGGTAAGGATGGAGAGGGGGAAGGAGGAGGAGGAGGAGGAGGAGGAGGAGAAGATGTAGCAGAGGGAGGAAGAATAGGTGGGGTGGAGAGTGGTGGAGGAAAAAAGAGGGAGACAGGGCAGAAGAAGGATGGAGCAGGTAAGAACAGGGGGAGGAAATGAGGGAAAAGGAAGACAGAAAGAGGGAGGGAAAGAACTAAACAAATCGACAAGGGCCGTGATGAGGGCTCGAACTTATGCCCGGGATGATCCTAGCCGCTGCCTTAGTCGACTAG